TTTATAGGATATGAAGACTATTAGGTGTTTTCTTTTTTCTTTTTTTTGTCAGTTTGAATACAGAATTTATCTATTAAAACCAAAAGAATAATGACTTACTTTTTAACATGGGAGCAGTATAACAATCAAAAAAGAAAACACAAACAATTTATAAAAATCTAATTTACATTTTAGCTGAGTATCTAAGCAGGGATGTCAGTGATTCTGGGCCAAATAAGATATCACCACCACCACCACCACCACAGCCCAAGACAACAGCTCACAGTTACTGTAAGCACACCTCCACTGTGCTTATGAGTCATTTAAAAGTTTTACACAAACTGAAACTTTGTGTTAAACCCTGGGGATCAATTACCAGATAGAAAGCCTGACATTATTTCAGCAACATCTGTAGTCATATTATTGTTACTGACACCAAACACTTAACACATCAAGGTAGGAAATTACACTGTATTTCATTTGTGATTAAATCAACAGACTGCGCAAAAACAAACAAACAAGAAACACTCCATATGGCTAACATAAAAGGAGCTATGATAGCAGATTGCTTGACATAAAGTCTAGAGGCTTGTTTTGGCAAACCAGATGATCACTCTCTCAGCAATATTTTTGGCAAGAATAAACTAAAGTTCCAGGAATCTTGTGCCTATGACTTACCAAAAACAGAACTGAGTCTCAGTTGGAGTTTAGATACAAAATAAAAGGGAGATTATAGACAAAAGAGCACTGACAAGAGAGATAAGTTTACGAAAAATACACAGAAGCATCTGTTTACTGGAATACCTCATGGCACAAGCTCAAGTAAAAAGCTAAAAACATAGACAATGAGTATTCAGGACACCAACTTAAAAAGATGCTAGTCATACGAAGGGACCTAGCTTACAACATGTTAGGTATACTACAAGAATTCAGGTTAGGTATCTAGCTTACAACATGTTAGGTATACTACAAGAATTCAGGTTAGGTACCTAGCTTACAGCATGTTAGGTACACTATAAGAATTCAGGTTAGGTACCTAGTTTACAACATGTTAGGTACACTACAAAAATTCAGGTTAGGTACCTAGTTTACATCATGTTAGGTACACTACAAGAATTCAGGTTAGGTACCTAGTTTACAACATGTTAGGTACACTACAAGAATTCAGGTTAGGTACCTAGCTTACATCATGTTAGGTACACTACAAGAATTCAGGTTAGGTACCTGCGGATTGTGTGCTGAACTCCAATAAATAACAGAATATCTGTTAATGTAGGCCTACATTAACAGATTTTTTTGACAACACATTTTTATGAATAAATGAAAAATTAAATGAGAACAGGTCGGAAATATACTTGGGCCCAGGTATTGTGTTTGTGAGGGAAACACTGGAGACTAAATATTTCCAAACAGGTTGGTATAAAGTTGTCATTTTTATTGTTCTGCACTTTTGTGTGTTCAAGTTCTAGCACTAGCCCTTAGTAGGCCTACAGTGTGGCTGCCAGCAGTTAATAATATATAATATTCCTGTTATGAATTAATTTGCCTCATGTATGAAATGTGTGTTGAAATAGGCCTACAGTGTATTTTAACGTCTACCATAATGGTGGTACTTGGAGAGCCAAATATTTTCGGAGGTGGTACGCAGTCTAAAAAGTTTGAGAAACACTGGGCTAGACCATAGACCGAGGGAACAAAAGCTGTAAAAATAAAATGTTAAAAAGTTCAAATGCAGCTGAGAGGAAACAGAAAAGAAAGCAGTCAAAGAAAATGAATAAAGCCTGAAGAAGTAAAAACAAAACAACACGTAAAAGCCATAAAATAAATAAAAGTAGTACAAAGAAGTTAAAAGCCTAAAATTGCTTAAATTCATAAATGAAAATCAGACTGGCAAAGAAAGTGACGGTGTCGCCAGGACAACTAGACTTGAGTACAGCATATTAGAAATATGCTTTGCCTGAGCCAAAGCGTCAGTGACAAAGCTTTCAGTTCCTGTTTTTTGCGTTGGATGTCCTCCCTCAACTGTGAATCCTTAAATTTAGAGTCCGCACACTCAGCCATGGCTAGCTCTGACTGATAAAATTAAGTAAGTAAAGATTAAAGAAGTCCACTTGCATCAGGCCTATTCATCCAAAACGGATTAAACTAGCGATCTAAGCATCCTCCACATTCAGTGTTCCCTCCCCACCCTGGAGGAGAAGCTGTTTCCCCTGGAATCTCCCTGCACTTACCCTGCATTGGATTTGAACCGTGAACCCGGACATAGTCTGGGCAGTAGTCCTAATCACTTCACCACCATGCTGCTTCTCGGCGCTTGCTTTTTTTTAGGAGTTATGTACTTTCCAGTACATTCAGGAAGTTTAAAATCATGGTCCACACTCCAGTGGGAGAAAGTCATAACAATCTAGCCCCTTACGTGAAGGCCTCAAAAGGGGTTTAAACCTGGAACCCTAGAAAGTACAAAAATGTTCCGCCTTGGGGTGCATGCATTATGGGGTTTATGTTCTTTCCCAGAATAAGGTTGAAAATCATGATCCAAGCTCCACATGGAGAAAACAAGAACAGCAGTGTTAACCACCACACTAACACGCCACACTGAGCGATTTCCGTTTAGAGTTTATGTAAACATGGGGACAGTTGCTTATCCTCTGAGCTATAGTGTTGCCCTTATTTGAGTGGATCGTTGAATTATATAATATAATATAGTAATAATATTTTAGCACTGTATAATTGTAAGGTAGATGTGATGGCCTGCAGGCACTTTATATTACAAACACATTTTTACACATGTGAACAGGACGGTGAGGAGAAGCCCAGACTCTGTTTCTGGTGAATCAAAACAAACAGATTGCTTCATACTTCCTGCTTAACTTGTTTGCTTAACCCTGACAAAAGTAACCATAACACTCTCCTGTCACAGCTAAATGATTCTGTTAAAAGATTTCCGGTCAAGTTTAGTTTGAATCTTAATGCTTGTACCAAAAGTGTGCCACAAACCAAACAAGGTTGTGTAAAAGACATTCATCGTTTAAATTGTATGTTTTTAAAATTTTAGTCTTGAGAAAGAATAGACAAGAACGACTTACTATACCTCACATTTACCCTTTACCATTTATCTGAATCTATTCCAGATGTTGAGTTTATGAAATCATACAAGAGATTCAAATTAAACAGAAGCCTATAATTACAAACCAGTTACATGCTGGTTAGGGGAATGGCAACTACACACACGCAAAGAGGTCAAATCAGGCAAGTAGCAAGCTGCCGCTTAGTTAGAGCTTGAGGCGCTGTGTTGCGTTACAACCTGAAACACACTGAGCCTCTTATGACTCACTCACTTGTTTACGTGAATTTCTTAGACCCCCTATTGTAGTAGAAGTCTTTTAAACAAGCTGCTACACTTCCTCCTCCCACGGGTTAGAGAGAAGAAATGCTTTTTATTGGGGAAGGGCTTAATGGAGGATTTAGTGTTGCGCCACTGAGTTTTTGGCAACATAAGGGCACACAAAGCTAAATCCCAGACACAGTGCACTTTTAAGGAATGCCCCTATTATGGGTCAGCTTAGCGAATGCTTAATCATACATTTCTCATGACACATCTTACTTTCTATTTCACATACTTTTACCATTACTGTACCATGTAGCTCCAATTCGATCTTGCTCATAGTTGTTGCTCTGTTTGTCCCTATCCTTCTCCTCCTTCCTGCGTCTCCCTCTACCCCACTTTCCAGGTTTCTGCCTGTTAAAAGGAAGCTTTTTCTGCAATGTTGCTAAATTTTGCAGAGTGCTGAGCTCATGATGGATTCATATTGGGTCTTTGTTGATTGTATAACAATGACTAAGGACTTTAACCTACTTTTTTGTAGAAAGTCTTGAGATAATGTTTGTTATGAATTGGCAATACAGATAAACATTGATTGATTGGCTGCAGTAGTTTTTTGAAAGCACTGAAAAACAAGGACATTTGATTGGTAGGTAAAATTTGTGTTGCTTTTAAATGCAGCTTGGCACTTAGACTTGGAAGAAAACAGAAGACACACAAATGAATAAGCCAAAACCTGTGTGGAGAGAATAAGTGGATATGTGCTGAATAGGGCTCGAGAGCGGAGTAAAAAGCACAAACAGATGGTACTTGAGGGAGTTCATTTCAAATGAACTTGTTGCCAAGTAAGCCTTTGTGCATGGAGCACACCTATGTGTGTTATAACTGCCCTGCAGCCCTGGAGACGGCAAACACAAAGTAAACCAAGCAGAGGGCTATTATAAATGGGCACTTGTTTTCATTAGGTTTGGAAAAACACCAAGGAGTTAGAAACGTTCACTGTGTGTCATTTTCCCTCTGTGTGATAATCGAGAGAGGAATAAGAGAGTCGTTTGCTGATTAAAATTTCAATAAAAACATCATTGTCACTAATGAGCATTAAGCCATTTAAGATCGATCGAGTATAAACAATGCTGATTATAAAGCTAGATAGCTTATCTCTATTTGCAGATTCAACATGAAGGTGTAGGGTTCTGGGATAGATTATATTCCAAACAGGAGCTACACATTCTGGTATTTTCTGTGGCCTTGAAATTTTACCCTAATTTTGAAAGATCAGGTAAAAATAATGAATGATCTAGACGATGATGTTGTACCCAGGGCGACTACGGGGAGGACTTTAGCCTCGCTTTGAATGTGTTTTAACCATCAAATGTCATTTTGCAAAAACCCAGCGAGACAACAATGGCGCTTTGAGTCACCATCGAACCTTTGAGTCATTCAGTATGATGACGATCAAGATAATCAGCTTAAAGTTGCTAATTCATTAATATCTCTACACTTTGCTGTTTGTACTTGTTTCTCAATGACTCAGAGAACACAGGTTTAACATGTTCCAAAATACATGTGTGGGGTTGGGGGAGGGTGGTGGTGGGGGGTGCAATCTGTATGGGAAACTTTTTGCACATTTGAGTCAGCTTATCCTGCAACAGCAAAGAAGCTCACTTTTTCTGTGTATTTCTCACAGGTCTCACTACGCTCATTTCCAACAGGATTCCTTTATTAAAGAGTAAACACATACAAAACTAAACCTGGAAAAAAAGGTGAAAAAACATCAACAACATTTTAGTGCAATCAGTAGTGCTGTTACATTTCTCATCACATCTGTAGTTGCGGCTCAAGGGCAGAGGTTTCACCAAGAGCCAAACACGTCCAGCAGGTTAGACGAACTTGAGTGATTATTGACAAGTACTGTAGCGTCCACAGCGTTTTAATCCATCGCCACAGTATCAAGCATGTCCATCCAGACGTCATGGTGATGATTTTCCCTCATGAGCCGATGTTTTTGGTCACAGGGGATCCTCTCCGCTGGTTATCCGAGGAGACCTGCCCCTGTGTGTGGTGGTCCAGTGTCAAAATGTTGTGACTGTCCTGGACGTACATCAGACCGCCAAAGGAGTCCATTATTCCATAAAAGACTGCAAGGACACTCAGCGCTGTTCCAATGAAGTAGAGTTTAAGGATTTCTGCTGCCATGGCTCCTGTGGTGACGGAAGACTGAATGCAAAAGAAGAAGAGTGATCACAGTTAAAAATGAGTTGAAATTAAAATATTTGTTTTGTTAGATTTTCTTTAAAAAGTAGGACAAACCTATTATTTTTCTTTTAGTCACATGAATAAATAAAATTGGCCATTTTTTATTTACTTACAGCCCATTTCAGGCTGAATAGTAAACTAAGTTAAAGAGGACTCATGTATGAGAAATGCTTATCTGTCAGGAAGCTACAGTTACTGGTCCACATCAACAGGAAGAAAAATAATTATTGGTGCATTTAAATGCTGTTGGAAATCTAAAATCTGAAATGACAAAAGCATCAGAATTGTTTGTTGTTTTTTTGTTTTGAAACTTTTGTTTAATTTGATGTCGATGCTGCTTAAATTATGCAGGACTATATGATATTTTGGTATCATACAGCTCTTTTTCCCCAGCATGCTTTGGTTTTAAAAACATCCATTTGCCTACTCACCCATTATGACCAGCCATAACATTTGTAATAAGAGTTCAAGCAATTTTCACAATCGTATTTCGACAACTGGCTGGGTGACAAATAGGAGGCCTACTACTTAAAACTCTTCAAAGTTCAAACTGAAGTGGCTTCGCTTGAAAAGGGAACCTGGAGGCAGGACCAACGTGGCGAAAGACCACATGGTTTTGGGGAAGCAAAACCCGAGACCACACAGTGTGAATTGAATTTTGGCATTTCTACTGTTTTAAGGCACTGACACATTATTATTTTTTTCCATGTGTGTATAACTCACCAGAAGATCGGGTTATCTGTTGTGTCTGTCTTTTCTTGGAGCCGAAGCTGTTTCCAACAACAAACAACGCAGCCTTAAGGAATCCTCCGATATTTGACGGTCGATACTGATTTCAGTTCAGAAGGATTCTTCTCTGTAATCGTTAAAACAAAGATCGTCATCTAAGAGCGGCTGAAGTCATCCAGCTGATCTCTCTCTCTCTCTCTCTCTCTCTCTCTCTCTCTCTTTCACTCTCTCTCTCTCTGCTGCTGCCTGCTTCTGTGAGAGCGACGCATCAAGCTGTTCTTCATTAAGATGCGTAATCGTGACATCACGTCGTCGTATCCTATTGGACTCCGCGGCAGCTCCATTTCCTGTACCTTTCAAAGTAGCTCGACAGGACTGTTACGGGGTTTCCTTTGTGTGGTAATGCATATTTTCGTCATTAGTTCAAGGAATTTGATGAAATGTATTTCTGTCTCTGTCAGAAAGAAAGTGCGTATTATGTTGTGAATTCAACCAAACTAACCTCAATCTCTCAGATTTGATCAGATACAAATCATTCACTGTCCTCACATATACCCCTATGTTAATTGTAGCCTTTATATTCATTTATGTTCACCAACATGTCTTAAATCTAAACTGTTACAGACCCACAATGCCATGCATGTAGGCAATTTACAGTAACCTATACAATGTAAACAAAACCAGGATGCCAATAGGCTAACCAAAACAAGGAGAGGGTAGGCTCTGAAAGAAATTGAGAAATACCAAATCATAAGAAGAAAGAAAATCCTACCCCATAAAACCAGAGGGGTTATGACTATGACACAATATATAAACATCTGTTGTGGGATCTTATCACTTCTATTTTATATGTTTACAAGCTCTTGGGTATGGCGATACAAAGGAAGTGTTGAGAAATGTATGTGACGTCTATCGCGCTGAGTCACTGAAAAAATAATCGAATAGAGTACACACAGACACACAGACACACACACACACACCTTAATGGACTAGCTCAGGCCTGTTCCTCTCTGACCAATATGTCAGTAAAACTGCTGGTCCATTACTGGGACCACAGTGAATAAATACCAAAGGGACTTCCAGTTTACTTAAGTGCCAGAGTGGAGACTGCAGATTTTCTCAATGGAAAATAAGCGGAGCGGAACAGGAGTGAGTGCTGTTCTTTTCTTTCATATCAGACATGAATTAACTTCCCCCGAGGCCTGGCTGTGTTTCTGACGAAACTCCAGCACACAGAAAAAACACGATAATATTTAACAGTTGGGAAAATTGGCCAGACTTATGGCTCACTCTTAAATCCACACCTTACATGTGGCATGAGAGTAAAACAGCTATCAGATATAACATTCTTTTTGTTTTACATGGTGTTTCAGGTCACAAGATATGGTATGACCAAAAAATGTGAAGTATAAATATACAACACAGACAAGCCTGAACAGCTGGGAATGAGACTATTGTTACCAAGTATTAGTTACTCCTTTCCAGTGAATTTCCCAAGGTTAAAAAAAAAGTTGTTGAGTTGTGTGAACATCTTTAGAGTCTGGAACTTTTCACACAATCTGAGTGAAATGTTCACTCCCACTGGAACAAAATGAAAGGCAGCCAAAACGTCAGATTACTCTTTTACATGCAGATTCAATCCTTTTGTTTGTTCACTTCACTGCCAGGGTTTAAAACAACTTATTCTGAAGGAGAAATAAGAGCTCCTTCAGCAACTTTAATCATAGGCAGCCATGTAGCTGAAAGGCCGGGAAAAGGTCCCGACCACTGAAAGGTCGGGAAAACAATGGGACAAAAAAAAAAGAGAGAGGCACACCTTCCGTCTGTTTTTGGCTATTTCATAAACAGCTGACAAGGTCCAGAGTTGAGGTCATGAAATGCCCAGCGTTAGCCTTTCAGATTGTTAAACTGAACAGAACGTACAGAACACGGCCTTGAATTAGTTACAAAGAAAACTTATGAAACTATTCTTCAAATAATGTCTTATATGTCAAGAGGACAAATTCCAGTAACCAATAACTGTACCCTTGAACATAAAATGAGTAATACCAACCTTAATGTAAAAATAGCATGAGGGGCCCAGCGCTTGAAGAAAATCTGGAAGCGCTCAAAGCAGTTAAAGTAAAACATTTTAATTTCTGAGTCCAAAATAGAGTAAGGCTTAAAATCATAGTTTGTGCAAAGAAGACTATAATACATTCTTGGTTCTCTGTTGAATCTCCATCGATAAAGGAATGGTTTAACTATTTTAGAGACGTCTCTCTTATTGAAAGATCATTAGCTGTAATTCATAAGGCACGGGAGTCCACTTTACAGGCTTGGGATTTCCTGATTTCAACTCTTTCAGATCCACTTTTTCTTGAACCAATATAACCAGTATTATAAACAAAACGTAAAACTTACACTTTTGTGAAATTGTTTAGTTGGATTATTTTTATGTTATTCTTTATCTGTTTATTTGTTTTAGTTTTATTTATTGTGCTGTGTCTGTAGGTTTTATTTTGCGTGCATGTGTGTGTATGGGTGTATATATATATGTATATATGAGTGTACATGCATATCATAATTTCACTCAGTAATTTTGTCTTTGTTTCAAATTTTATGTATATTTTTCCTCGTCAAGGCAACGGCGATCTGTAAATAGTTTGTATGTTTGATGACGCTGTCTTGGGTTTCAGCTCATGTGTATAAGCAGCATGTAAAATTTCTATAAAAAGTTGATCACAAAAAAAAAATCATAGTTTGTGTCCTCAAGCTATAACAGTATAGTAAAGTATTGAGTTCAACAGATCACAATACAATAGGATACAGTACAATCCAATACCATATACACGATGATATGATAAGATATCCTGTGATTCAATATGATACGATGATACAACACAATATAATACCATAGCATAGCATAGGATGATACAATACTATACCATACTATGATATGAAACAATACAGTACGATATGATACCGATGATATGTTAAGATATAATACCATAAGATAATGCTGTATGACACAATACGATACGGTACGCTACGATATGACAAGACAACATGTCATAAAAAGACCGCAGAAGAAAGTGTGGATTAAGCAACAGAGTCTGATGCTCTGTTGAGGGGTCACACAGCAGTCGCAGGATACAAACGTCATAAACCACTTCCCACTCGCTTGCGGTGAATTTTTCCTGAATATTACCTGCTGCATGCTCACATCAGCTCACGATGACTTTACATCCATCAATCAATCAATCAATCAATCAATCAATCTTTATTTCTAGAGCACATTTAAAACAACCTTGATTGACCAAAGTGCTGTACAAGCGTAAAA